ATTAACTTAAATCAGTTATATCTATCATGCAATGCATTTCCTTCCAATTTTTTGTGATAAACAAATAGATAATTGACTAAATAAACATCCTGCAAAGTTTCAATAAAAATTTCCAAGTTTTTCTTACAATTTTCGTGGGTTTTTATTCAATTTTTATCGATATCGATAATATCCTCATATTTCCATCGAAATTTCCGTGTTTTTGGATTATCGATATTTCCGATATCATCGATATTTCCGATATCATCGATATTTTAGACCTTGATTAATACAATATTGGGATGCGAATGTTGCATGCGAGAATATATTGGAAGTTTGATAATTGCATATGTGGCCTCCAACCTAGAGGACTTGTGTGGTACATATACATCTCTATGCATATATATATTTGTATGTTCTAATATTATTGATATAGAACGTTACTATAATAGTTTAACTGTCATACAAGTTTCTCTTGCAAACTAGTGCGCTTGCACACTTCCAAAGTTGACATGTGTACCCAAATGGAGAGAGACAAGAGTGTATGGACTAAATAGCATAGGGAGCTTGATTAATCATTCTTTCTATATGGTGGAAGGACAGAAAAAGATGGTTACCTTTCAAAAGTTTATGGAGGAAGAAGAATAATGACTCATGCATTGTGCACTAGCTCTCTTGTTCTTCTTTGGGTTTTGCTCCTTTCAACAACTTAGCTTTCCATATTTACTATTTTCCTATCCTTTTATACTCAAACAGTGTAAGTTCACATGATCTACTAACTCCTGAGCTAAGCTTGCTTAATTATTAACAACTATTTGAATTAAATTTTCTTTGAACACCTAATTATTTCTGAACAATGGATAAGATACAAAACTATCTCATTCCAATTTTCAAAATTAATACCTACTTTCCGCAATGCAAAATAAAAAATAGTCAATATTAAACAAAAATTCATGATAGCTACGCTAATGGTTGGAGTAACAATAAGGCGCTATAATGGAAAAATAGTGAAAAAAAATATCGAAACTGTTTATATTTTTTCCATTGACATCATTGTTACTTCAAAAGTAGCTAGCTACCATTAGTTATTGTTTAATCAATAACTATTGCTATTTTTTGGTGGAGTTATGTCACATCCCGGTCTGGGCACCCACCATATCCCAGGCTTGACTTTATCGTAGTACAATATTGTCCGCTTTGGATTCCAACCAAGCCCTCACGGTTTTGTTCATGAGAACTCATACGAGAACTTTCCAGTGGGTCACCCATCATGGGATTGCTCTTGAGCGAACTTGCTTAACTTCGGAGTTCCGATGGAACCCGAAGCCAGTGAGCTCCCAAAAGACCTCGTGCTAGGTAGAGATGAGAATATACATATAAGGCTTATAGGATCCACTCCTCTGAACGATGTGGGATCTTACAATCCACCCCTCTTAGGGGTTCGACGTCCTCGTTGGCACACATCTGGTCAGGGATTGGCTCTAGTACCAAATTGTCGCATTCTGGCCTGGACCCCCATCACATCCCGGACTCGACTCCACTGTAGCACGATATTGTCCGTTTTGGGCCCCGACCATGCCCTCACAGTTTTGTTTTTGAGAACTTACACGAGAACTTCTCAGCGAACTCGCTTAACTTGGGAGTTCCGATAGATCTCGAAGCCAGTGAGCTCCCAAAAGGCCTCGTGCTAGGTAGAGATAGGAATATACATATAAGGCTTACATGATCCACTCTCTAAACGATGTGGGATCTTACAGATATGTTTATGTATTCTCTCTTATTTAAACGACAAGACATTCCTTAATCCAATTTCCATGTGATGTTGAGCTAAAGTGGATGCGTGTCCCCAAATAATAACTTTCTCGAACCGACTACGACCAATGCAAAATATTAAAAATTGGCATTAAAAAAACAAATATTATTGTATCTTCCTTTGGTTTAAAGAAGTACTTTCTTTACCAAAGCTGTCCTTCAAACTAATCCACTGCACAAGAAAACAAGGGATGGTGTTGTGCTCAAGAATCCATGGGGAGGTCACAGGAACCTTTTTTTATTACTAAAATACATTGGCCGCAACTGCCTTAAAAATTAATCTGGAAAAGTAATGGTTTCACTAAAAAAAATCTGGAAAAGGAAGGAATGAGTTCGAGTCCGTGATCCTAAAGCAGTGGCACATGAAACAGCCCGGTGCATGATGCGCCGATGGTTTGTCCTCTATTAGATTTTTCTACCGTACTCCGGAAAATGAAAATAATTTAGGTGTTTTAATCTCGGTCCAAAAAATCAACATGATTATTTAGGTTAAGTGCACTATTATTTTCCTTTACTTTTATTTCTTTTATACACATTTTATATTTTTTAAATATATTACAGATTTTCTAATTTCATGCATTTTTTAATTATAATAAATCTACTTAATATCTCCTAACAAAAAACTAATATACTAACACAAATTCATTTGCAGAACATTCAACCCTAACCCAAATAACAAATATATGAAGGTTTATTATACCTATAAACGAGATATGGAACCTAAATATAAGGTACAAAAACATAATATACCTATGAGCAACACAAATCAATTTGTTATACAAGTTTATTATCAAAAAAGAATTTATCATATAGTTAGATAAATACAATTAATCTATAATATAGGTTGACTGTAAAAAATATATAAAAAAAAAATCTATAAATGGAGGTTAGAGCAAAAAGAAATAAGAAATAATTAAAAAAAAATAAGCAAAGATAATTAGGAAAAAGTTTAACTATCAATATTAAATAGTCCTAAACTTACGAGATTGGATTTATGTTAATAAACTAGACCATTCCTAGTATTGGTTTAAAACCTCGAACTTATATCAAGTTTTTTCTTTAATCATTTAAAAATATAAGAATCAATGTCCAACACTTAAAAATAATTAGAGTATTCTTACTCTGAAGTATCTAAGATCTTCTCCAATGAAGATGTCAAATTTCATTTTCATTGTTGATGTGACAAAATAATATTTTGTGAAGTCTCCTATTTCAACCAAGATGTCAAATTAAGATTTTTAAAATCAAGTGGGTTAGAATATAATAAGAAAGTAATTAATAATCGAAGAAAAATAAAGAAATATGTTGGTCCAGCATTAAAATAAAACACAAATTTTTTTTGACGTTGCCCTTAAATTTGGCTAAAGAATGTCAATCCATGTAGGATTTTAGCATTGTTGGACCTAGAAAATCACTTTTTATTTTTATTTTTATATAACAAGAAAGAAAATAATAAGTGAAGAAAAATAAAGAAATATGTTGGTCCAGCATAAAAATAAAACACAAAAAAAATTTGACGTTGCCTTCAAATTTGATAGCAAAGTGAAGAATGTCAATCCATTTAGGATTATAGCACCTCCTTTAATTGGAACCAGAAAATTATTCATGCATTCTTGGTCTTACATTTGCCATTGTCAACACATGACAGTCTTCCTTGTATTGATTACATGACAAGTATCATAATAAAGGAAAACTAATGAAAAGGGCTTGAAAACTTTGAGTTTTAATGATAAGGACAAAATAAAGGGTAAAGTGAATAGTACCAGGATTGGCTTTTTAGTGTAAAAATGTGGTTTTTCGTTAAAGTGAACAGTACCAGGTGCTTTTCGTTAAAGTTTCCTATTAATAATTTGTTTGGGAACTATCATGGCACTCTAAAAAATTAGTTTTACATTCTTTATATGAATATTTTTTTCTTTCTAAATATAAAAATTTTAAAGTGCACAATTATATTTTATAAAATAATTTTCCCGCATTTATTTTGCTTCATGTTCTATTTTGATTATATATATTTTTTTTGAACAAACGATCTATCTACACTAATGTGGTTCAAATTCGAACCTAAGACCTTTTACTTACAAATGAAGAGGAATACCATTAGACCGTAGTACTAAGTGGCAAATTTTTTGTCAAACGATAGATTTGTTAGATTAGTGAGCCGATGAGGTTCGAACCTATGCAGTGGTGCAAGGACACTATTCCTCTCCATCACCGTTGTTCTCCACCACCGTAATAGAGGGCCAGTTTGTTCTATTTTGAATTGGATAACTTAAAATTGAGGTAAGAGACATATACCCGGGTGATCATAAAAAAGAAATTTGCAAAATAATTTCCCTATACATAATATACATTTTGATTTCTATGTATAAGTATTTAAAATAATTGAGTAAAACTAAAAAAAATAATAGTTTGTACACACAACACACACATCAATTTGGAAGAAACAAGCTAAAGGATCCTCGTGCAAGTGCGCGAAGAAAAAAAATATTAATCATTGATACTCTCTAGGTGTTAGGTCTAACTGATCGAAAGATAAAAAAGAGACGAAGAAATAAACTAATAAAGGAGTTGGATGTTGCAGTTCTTATTAATTACGAATGTCATTACGTAATTTCTAAATAGATTATGTTTAAGAATCTTATGAGATCTTGTTGATATTTCGTATTAAACTATGTAATATTTGTATGGAAAGTAAAATATACCTTGTTTAATCTAAATAAAGAAACAAAGCATGATGCATATCGCCACAAACTTTCTTAAACCTTTCCTTTTTGCTGTTCCACCCTTCTGTCCCTAAAATAGGTGTACCATTGGGCATGTATCTTTGGGTCTCAAAGTTTTCAATGTTACCGACATGTTGGGCCTTCGTCGTTGGAAGAGTTATATAAACACTAGTATCTTGTTCTACTCATTATTAGGGGGAGAAAATACATTAGTTTCAAATCTAGTAAATAGGTGACAATTGTATCTTGTCTTCTTCACGTACGCACTAGAACAAAACAGTTCATCCACCACATCAATTCTATCACGGGCATATATAACTCGTGGTAAAAACTATTCAATTACCACAGTCAAGTTTAACTCGTGGTAGATAACATTAATCCACCACGATCAAATTTTGGCCCGTTGTTAAAAACAAATAATCTACAACGAACATTTATATTTGTGATGGAATATCATAATTACCACCAAATATGCTCGTGGTTACTTCAAACTACCACATCGTCTTTTGTGAATTCACCACGCCTTTGACCTGTGATAGATGTTTTTAATTTTATTTTCATAATTGAAAACTTTTGGAGGAGGCGGGAGATTAAAAATTTGGAGGGCTGCCAAAATTTTGGCATAGCGCCCAAAATCTCTAACTCCCTATTTTCAAAGAGATCGCGTTAGCTCTCCCTCCTCATTTTCATTTCTCTCTCGCAACTTCTCTGCCTTTCCTCTTCAGAAATTTCCAAACGCCTCCACCAAGTGTTCTGGATATGAAAATCCATACGAGAATTCTCTGAAATTCGATGACGGCGGTGGCTCCGGCGGCTCCTATTTAGATGATAGGTATGGGGGATACAACCGAAGCCGATCCGATTTGGGTTCGGATCCATATGGGAAGTGGTATGATGCAGGTCCCGATGCGGGTAGGGCGACGGTGTTTATGCTTACGGAGGTGATAATTCTATTCCGGCAATGGCTAATAATCTCGCTCCAGGTTCGTTAAATCTTCCTTCCATGTTTTGATTGTATACGATGCTTCTGATTATATACGTACGTCCTGATTAAATTTTGGGATTTCAATCCATTAGTATTATATTGGGCGGTTTCACATCTGGGTTCTTTGAGTTACATTTTTTAGCTGAAAGATCATTGATTTGCAAAAAATATTGATGTTTTCTGAATTCTCAGGCATTTCTTTGTATTGAGTTTCTGTATTTTTTTATCTATCTTTCGCAGCAATCAATCTTTTTCTTTACGTGTTTGATGAAATCTCTGGTACAAAGTTTACCCACTTGGGAATCTCTCTTAAAAATTAACTTCTTTCAAGTGAAAAATTCATGTTATGGCTGTATATGCTTTCTAGTATGTGATTTGGAATCTTATTGTATTCGAAATATTGTTTCTTGCTTCGTATGGATTCACTGTGTTACGATTTACACTGCACGTGTGTTCGGTAATTGATCTGTTATCTATTTGAAAAATCACGATTAAAACAATAAAGGATTAGTCGGGTAACAGATGCTTTGTAAAGATGAACAATTTTTGTTTACTAAACATGCAATTTCGAGTTTCCGAATCAGTTAATCTGTAGTTTTAGTTTTAGTACCAAAATTGGATAAAAGAAGGTGAATTGATTCTAACATAGTCCCAGTTGGAGCAACTGTGTGTTTTTTAGCTTAATTAATTGCATAGACGATGGGAAAGTTTTCGTATTAATTAACGTTAAACATATGTCCATGGCGGACTATTGCATATGCAACATTGAGGCGTAGATATAGCTTGTTGAACTTCTTTGCAATTTGATTAATACTGCTTAAATGATGTGACTGCAGTTCTGGACAAAAAATTGGTTTTGCATGAAGATTCTAAAGATGCATCCTCCCATAAAAAAGGAGGGTCACAAGATGACAAGTCCCTGGTTGTTTGCTTTGGGGAAATGCTAATTGACTTTGTGCCCACTGTTGGTGGAGTTTCACTTGCTGAAGCACTTGCTTTTAAGAAAGCTCCTAGTGGTGCTCCTGCTAATGTCGCTGTTGGAGTCGCAAGACTGGGTGGTTCAGCAGGTTTCATAGGCAAGGTACATTAGATTCTGTGGATGCTGGTATTAATTTCTCCTCTTGGCTTTTGCCTTTATTCCTGGGATTTCTGTTAAGAAGAAGGATTTCTCTAGTAACAATTTGTTCCACACATGTAATAATAATGAAACATAGAAAGACGCTTTCAACCTGTTTATTGAAACCCCCCAACGGTTCAACTCTATATTGACTTTGTTGAGCATGGCATGATTCAAATATGCATCTTTCTCATATTGTGTATTTAACCCATTTCACAATCTCCAGCAGACATGTATTCGAACAATGTTTTCTCTCATATCCCCTTGACACCGTTACAAGATGTGATGTAAGTTCATTTTACTTTAGCATCAAGTTTGTTAAGGAACTTTTAATTTATGTATTGAGGTAAAAGTAATTTGTATGTTTATTTTTTTTCTCATGCAGAAAACCGACTCATCTACCTTTGCCTTTTGGTCAAAGAGCTCTGTGGATATTGAGCCAATGCGTATTAGATTACAGTCAAATAGTTACACTACCAACACCTTTTTGGATACAGTGACTGCTGCAACTATACAGGTTGGAAATTACTGAGATGTATAAACATTGATACTTGTTTTGAGATGTATATGATGCTTTTGTTCTATGTGAAAATTACTGAAGGTCGGCTGGATTAATCATTTTGTTATCAACGCCTGTTTGGCCTTCTTTCTTATTTCGTTACTGCTGTTATTAGGTCCCCGATGAGGCAGTTACAAAATGCACGGCCTATGGGTGAGATTTTGGGGCTTTATAGATCTCAGGGAGGCAGTATAGATCTTCTGTTGTTTATGTATTCATTAGGCACTACATGGATGGTACTTTATGACTTCCATTGTTTATGTATTCATTTGGAAACTCAAGTATTTTTAAATTAGGTTATAATATTATCAAGTAATTTTAGGTAGTTATTATATTGTAGTAAATATGCAATTTTCTTGGTTATTCTGTAATAAAATATATATATATATATATATATATATTTGTTATATAGTTTTATTTTTTTTTTAATTTTGGAAAATAATTTATAACGGGCATTAGCTGTGGTCAATTAGTAATCGACAACAGTCATAGCTCGTGGTGTTAGATCGCAATCTACAACGGGTACAATCTGTGGTTATATTGCATTTGACAACGGGCATTGCCCGTAGTAAAAACTGAGACTTTTTATCACATCCAGAATATTAACGGGCATAGTGTCCGTGGTGGATTGCAATTTATCACGAGCTTTCACCGTGATAGATGAGCTTTTTTCTTCTAGTGACGTCATCATGAGATTTAAACCCAAGACAGCCTATTCGAATAAAGCTAACAGAATAAATTGACACTGCTTGATATATGAACATGTCTTTGGATATAAATCAAATACTGACACAGTTCTGCACATGAACAACCTTTAAGAAAAATTATGGGATACATCAAACTTTGCTCAAGCATACTGCATACCTGTCTTGATCTCCATGCACAAGCCTCGGAATAAAGAGGGCAACAGAAGATTAGACGAGTGATGAGTAAACTTTTTTTGTTCGTGTATAATCCTTTTCCTTTTCTTTGAGAGAACTTGTTGGAGTGCACATGTAATTTTGTAATCCTGATTTATATAGCACCCAAGGCATTCAGGGTGAGTGGCTTGAAACTCCTGTTGGATGTGCATATTTCATACATGGTAATTAAATTAATGTATTGACAACTTTGGTTTCTATTTGAATCTATTCAGATTTTTCTCAAAAAAAAGAAAAGAAAAAGAATTTGGTTGAGATTTAATATTCTAATTACGTTTCGTTCATGAGCTAGCTGTATCTAATTTTCTTTTTGTCTAAGGAAAGATTTAAACAAAAAAAAATTAAAATCTAAAGATTGCCCTATGTGGTAGGTCATCCAAATTCATGCATGCCCAATATAAATTTCACTTATACCATATTCTAGTGTACCTGTTTTTTCCACTATTGATTTAGTAATATTCTCATTCCAACGTTGCAAGAGATCTAAAATTCATAGATGCCCAATTCATATTTCAATTGTACCAACTACTATAGATTCATTTCTTCCAATATTGGATTAATTAGATTTCTCATTCCAATATTGAAGAGATACCGATTTCATACATTTTATTTGTCCAAATTTCCGTCGGGGTTGAATTGACAAGAAACTTAGAAGACAAAATCAAAGAGAAAACAGACACTGAGTAACCCTAAAAAAAGATAGAGGCTTGGCTATTTATATAAGGTTAAATACGAGTTTCATATCCTAAAATGTCTCTCTCCTGACTAGTATAAATATCTCATCTAGGGTTTATCTCTGGTAACGCACTAATTGTATGCTTTATTCTTTTACCCACTGCTTTAATCTTATATTCTTGCTCACTTGATCGTCAAAGAGCCTTTAGTTGGTACCCCACTGGCACCCAACGTTAATCGTGGTTGTCTTCTCTTTTAGAGGTAGTCGAATTTGCTTAGCTCATCGGTCCGCTGCGGTGTGCAAATTTGGTTACAACAATTGGTGCTTTCATTGAGATGAACTTGTATTCCCCCAACTAAATCACTCTATTCCACTATGTATACTTCAAAGAGTTCAATGAACGCGATACCAAATTCTATGGAGGAAGCAATCAACATCCTTATGCCTCTGCAGATCCAGGAAACAACGGCGCCATTGATGGCGGAGCTACCCCCACAATGGACCAGATTTGTGAAGCCTTTATGAGAATCAATACCTCTGTTAACAGACTTTCAAAAATTCCAAGAGCTTTTCTGGCAGAGAACCGATCAAATCTTGTATCTCGGATTTCCATAAGAATAAAGGATGCGATGACACCTTTACGAACCCAGCAAAAATTGCTAATTCGAGCCCCTGTTCAAATTGACATGGAATCGTCTGATGACTAAAGGTCTGCAAAGAAACTAGTGGCTAAGCAGAGGCTTCAAAGAAAACGATCATTCAATGCTTGAAGAAAAGACTTGAGCAAAAGAAGGGCAAGTGGAAAGAAAAATTGCCTAAATTCTATGGGTATATCGCACTATCGTTCAGAAAGCAACTGGATAAAGTACGTTTTCCATGGCTTATGAAACTAAAGCCATCATCCCAATCCACGTCATAATAATGCAAACTTGTATACTGAAGAACATATTGAATTGAAAAATGCTGGAGTTCTCAAGTCCGAGCTCGACTTTGTGGAAGAATGCATAAAATGTGCCTGAGTTTGACTTGCTACCTATCAACAACAGATCCGCTTGTACCACAACGAAAAGGTCAAACCTTAAAACTTTCAAAGTGGAGATCTTATTTTAAGGGAAGTCTTCAAGAACACCGAAGTACCTAGAGAGTGCAAGTTCGGGGAAAATTGGGAAGGTCCATACAAAGTCATTGGAGTAGGAGGCAAATGGCCATACAACCCTACACAGATGGATGAAACTCCAATTAGCAAGAGATGGAATATCGCCAAACTCCGGCGATATTATTGAGAACTTTAACACCGCTTGTCTACGCGTACACATGGAGAAGCATCTTGAAAGCTTGCCTTAGTTAAGGAGCAAGATGAGCCCCGATGTAACTACACATCGTATCACCTTAATCTTAGAGCTACACCTGTGATTAGGTTATCCAATTTCAGAGATATGTAGGCAATCAAACGTGGATTCACTCACACCCACCCATCAAACTCCCATTCTTTTATAATAAGAATTTAGTTTGATTATCACATGACTTTTGTTTGTTTGTTTATTTTTCTTTATTGTACATGGAAGCTCTCAATATCCTAAATATCACACAACTTTGAAACTCTGCAAAACTGCAAGTCTAAAAATTTAAAGCAATAGTATTAGAGGAGTTTCTTGTGATAAAGCTTAGTCCGTGGTGTTCCGGTTAGAAGGTTGGAATACTCGAGTCGTATTAAGTGATGTTACGTTTGGTGGACTATGGACATTGGGACATGACCCGTTATCTGGAGCTTCCAATGCACCATTTGCCTTCTAGAAAGTTTATGCAACCAAAAGTGTGTGGCTTATCCAATCAAACATGGGCTCTGGCTATTTAAGGGAATAATGAAAAGGGCAAACCAAAAATTAGTTGAGGGGTGACTCTGAACTCTGGTCCCGAAGTATGATTACTTCTATATCCCAGACTAGTGTACTAAGTCAAGTATGTTATGTTGCGGTCTCATTCCTAAAGCAGGTGTGGTAGAGTAATCCAAACATGAAAATCTCCATGATAGAATTTTATTCCAATGGATCTTTAATTCATGGAAGTAGTGTAGGAAAGTCAATTAAGTGTATTCCGAACAGAAACACCCAAGTCCGACGCATATTAGTCTGGTAAAATGATTAAAAGATGTTTTTGACCCCACGTGCAAGCGACCAAGTCTTTCATGAACTTTTTGTTTAAGGTTTACTAAGATGAACACGCAATTCGGACTGAAGAGGAAGCCTCTTGTGGGTTACACATTTCAATTATTAAAATCCTCAAACACATAATGGAGCAAAGTGAACAAATAAACAAACTCAATGGTCAACTTCTCATACAACACTTAGATTAATCTTATTTAAGTGTTAATTATTACTACTCAGCCATCAAGGCAATTGAAACAAGTTAGCCTCACATTAAGATCTAGAGGTCATTCCGAGCAAGATTTATCACTTTCTTATCCTTAATCTGATTAATGCATTAAAGCAAGTTTCAGAGCAAAAGATTTTTTATGGGTCTTAAACCTAGTGTGGGAGTAGGTGGTATTCCGACTATCACTGTGGAAGTCTTTATAAACACTTAGTTTAGGGAATAACAATTTTTTGCAATGTTATGAAGGGATCTAAAGCTCACCTAAGTCTACAGGTTTATATGTGTTTGACTCTGTTACTTATTAACTCAAAGTTAGTTAACTCTGGAAAGCTTATTGGAATAAAAATATATTCCGCAATAAGGAAGCAAATAGTGCAAACTTCTAAGCATGTAGAAGATGAGGCAACTATGTTTTTTGGCTTGTCACTCTACTTCTGCTGTTAAAATGAGCATGTTTGGTATATTACTAGTGGATGCAGTAACTACATGGCTTCACATGATTCATTGTTGGTAAATGTTGATAAGTCTATGACTTCAAAGGTGAATATAGGCAAAGAACAGTTAGTACAAGCCACAAGAAAATGGTACTTTAGTTGATTGAAACAAAAGATGGAACTAGAAACATTAATGAAGTGATGTTAGTTCTAGATCTTGATGAAAATTTACTGAGTGGGTCAAATGATTCAGCATAGAACTTTCTACTAGTTGGTGATGATTTGGTGGGTATTTTTGAAGAAAACAATTGGAGTATCATGTAGCAACAATGCAAATGGCTAGAAATAGGTGTTTCCCCTAAATCATGAAGGATATGAATCCAAAAACTTTGAAGGGTATAGTTGAAGACAATGCTTGGGACTAGCATAAAAGCTAGGTCATTTGAATTTCCAATGTATAAAGTTGTTAGCTGACAGTGAAATGGTGTATCAGCTACCAAAAATAAAAGAAATACATGGTGTGTATGTAAGTTGTGTTGTAGAAAAAACAACACGGTGATGCATTTAGTAAACAGAAAACTTAGAGAGCAAGCTATCTTCTAGAGTTTTGTTCACTCATATGTGTATGGTCCTATGCAAGTCACTACACTTGGTGGAAACAAATACATATTCATGCATTGATGATTGCACTAGAACCTATCAGTTATACTTCATGAAACACAAATATGAAGTGTTCGGTATATTCAAGAAATTCAAAGCCATGGTTGTACTCAGAGTGGATGTCAAATAAAGAAATTGAAAAGTGATAGAGGTGGTGAGTATACCTTTATAGATTTCATAAATTATGTGAAAATGCTGGATTAGAAAGGCAACTGACA